AGATTGACACTTCAGTACAGTATTGAGTGACTGCCGCATTGTTGGAGGTGCTGTCTTTCAGATGACACAGTAAACTGACTTCCCTTCTATCCTCTGAATTAAAAATAAGAGTTTCCATTCACTATTTTGGAAAAAAGAACACAAATTCTCCTTGGCAATTGTTTATTCCTCACCCAACACTCAGAAAACATTATCTGGTCATTTATCATTTGCTGTCTGTGAGAATTTGCTGTGTGCAAATTGGCTGCTGTGCTTCCTACATCAGCTCCAATGATCAGACTGCATAAAATACTGAGATTGTGAATGTGTTACACGAATGCAAGTTGTTGGGCAAAGTGGTGCAGGAAATGCTAACCTCTGAAGAACCATTCCACAGCTGTAACCCGCTGCTAGCTAGAAGAAATTGATGGAGAAAACTGGGTTTAAAAATCTCTACTTTATCTTTTGCATTACCAGATTGTGTACAGGTTACCCAGCTCTGTATGGCACGTGGAAGTAGACAGTAGACATGAGCGCTTGTTTGTGCTGTGTGCCGGCAGTGGAATATACAGCATATCATTAAACCATAGGTAAGGTACGTTCGGTGTAATGTTGTACTATTAAAGCAAAAGCAGATATGCATATACAATATATTGCCAAATGGTGGTGCTGAATAAAGCAGATTACACAGTCATTAGAACTGAATTCAATATTGTCGTATTGTGATTTTTGCATTATTATAGTAAGTTAGAATTTTCATCATTCCAGACTTATCTGTAAAATAAAAATGCTTGCAAACTCACTCATTCATTACAATCAATCAATCAAATACATTCTCAAATCGTGTGATTTAATAAATTGTAGATTTTTCATTAAAAGTTCAATATTTAGAGAATTATGTTCATCAAGACATTTCTAACAATGAAATAGGGTTGAAAAGTTAAGAAACCAGTAAGTTTTTGAATATTTACTAATTAATATCTACAGTGCTGCCATAATCTGCGACAGCACACTCATTACTCAGTATGCTAGCATTTATCAGACCTTCTGTGTCTTAACCCATTGTCGCATATACAGTATGTTATTATTTTCTGCAATCGATAAAAATCCTTTAAAAATAGTTTTGCTATGATGATATTTAGAACTTCAGTGATTGTGCCAAAAATATCTACCAACACATCCAAAGGTATTGTGAACATATATGTGCTGGCCTTTATATCTTGAGGAACAAAATACAACAGGATAGAAATCAAGCTTCAGCTAAAAAAAAATCTGCTTTCATCTGTTGCGAGCAATTTTGGTATCATACCTTAGGAACCCTGGAGGGAATGTAGCATAGATTTACCAAAATAATAACCTGGACTCCAAATGTTACATTGAAGAAACATAGAAACATAGAAGCAGGAGGATGCCATTCTGCCCTTCGAGCCTGCTCCGCCATTCTTCACGATCATGGCTGATCATCCAACTCAATAGCCTAATCCTGCTTTCTCTCCATAAACTATGATCACATTCACCTCAAGTGCTATGTCTAGTCACCTCTTGAATACATCCAATGTTTTGGCATCAACTACTTCCTGTGGTAATGAATTCCACAGGCTTACCACTCTTTGGGTGAAGAAATGTCTCCTCATCTCCGTCCTAAATTGTCTACCCTGAATCCTCATACTGTGACCCCTGGTTCTGGACATACCCACCATCTAGAACATCCTCCCTGCATCTACCCTATGTAGTCTGTTAGAATTTCATATGTCTCTATAAGATTCCTCCTCATTCATCTGAACTCCAGCGAAAACAATCCCAATCCTCATACGTCAGACCCGCCATCCCCGGAATCAGTCTGGTAAACCTTCGCTGCACTCCCTCAAGAACAAGAGCATCCTTCCTCAGAAAAGGAGACCAAAACTCTCACAATATTCCAGGTGTGCTCTCACCAAGGCCCTGTACAACTGCAACAACACATCCCTGCTCCTGTACTTGAAACCTCTTGCAATGAAGGCCAACATACCATTTGCCTTCTTTACTACCTGCTGCACCTGTATGCCTCCCTTAAGTGACTGGTGCACAAGGATGCCCAGGTCCCACTGTACACTCCCCTCTCCCAACGTACATGTCAAGCTTTGCTGACAAGGGTTGTGTTCTCCGGAATTTAGAAGGTAAAGGTGATTTGATTCACATTTTCAAGATACTAAGGGGAACGGATGGTATTGATTTGGAGAAACTAATTCTGCTGGTTGTGGAGTCTAGGACTAGGGGCCTTGGTCTAAAAAATTTAGCCAAACCTTTTCAAGAGTAAAGGTAGTGAACACTTCCACATAGACATAGGATGTTAGAAGTTTGGAACACCTATCCATGAGTGGCAATTGGTGCTTGATCAATTGTTAATTTTAAAACCGAGATTCATAGTTTTTTGTCAACTAAAGTTAGTAATGGATATGGGGGTAATCGTGGATTTATGGAGTTAGATTACAGATAAACCATGATCTCACAGAATTGCAGAACAAGCTTGCATGGATAAATGGCTCAGACTTGCTCCAAATGCAGGCAATCCCAAACTTGTGTCACTACCCCAATTGGGCTTGCAGGCCAATCATTTGGGGTCTACAATTTGAGGCAGTAGTTATGACTGTCCAGAGCGGATTCTGGGCATGTAATTTATTTTTGTCCCAAGTGGCTAATTGATGGGACAATCTTTTGCTGCCTTAATTGTTCATTCTTTCAGTGCCCATAATGGTGATTCAGTTCAGTGCTCTGATTGGCTAATCAGGGACATCCATGGACGTACTCAGAACGGAGAAGTCATTTTGAAAGCATAGTGGGACGAATGTTAGAACTGTCCTGGGCTTGGTGCTGAGGCATGGTCAATCATTACATGCATGGTCAACATTCCTGGTCCCATCAGAGTCTTCAAGATGGTTGTGCATTGGCCATTGGCGTTCCCTTAAGAACAGTTCCCTGGCTCTCACACTCGGATTTTACCAGTTTTCAAGCGTCAGAATGGTATTATAGTGGCAATGGCCGAATGGCTGTATCAGAGTGATTTTTGAAAATATTTTCACTTTTGTTTTTGAATGATAAAAAATACTTATGAGCTTTTTCTTCTCAGTATGACCTTCACACCTCTTGTAACTCTTCTTGAACACATTCTCAATGGGAAATGCATGAATTTATTCAAGATATTTTCTAATCAGCCTATGCAAAGATGTTATTAGAGATTTCTGAAGCAGATGGAGACTTGAACCGAGGTCTCCTAGACTAGAGGTAGAGACACTACCACTGCACCACAAGAACCCTCTTAATTCAAGCGGTGGGATTCGAGCCCATGTCCACAGAACATTAACCTGGGGTTCTGGATGACTAATCCAGTGACATTATCACTACGCCACCTCTTCCCCATGAATTCATTCCATCATGCGATTGAAAAAAATATATGTGCTGGGACTTCTGTCTGAATGTGTACAGGTTGCTATCGTTAGTTGTTACTATAGCAAGTAGTTAAGTGGGTGATTAGGGTTAATTAATTAAATAATTGTCTGGGTAGGGCCTAGATGCTTTCGAGGCACAGTGGTAGTGTCCCTGCCTCTGAGCTAGAAGGCCTGGTTTGAAGTCCCATTGGCTCCAGAGATGTATCATAACATCTCTGAACCGGTTAATGAGAAAAATGTATAAAGGAGGGCCTGATTTGGAGAAAGAACTGTAGGACCCATTAGTTAATAAACTCTATCCACAAAGAAAGGTGTCTTGGTTTCTGTCTCTTCTATTGGCTTGGATCCAAAGTGACATTGGTAGCAGAGGGTGGCTTCCTGAAGGTAAAGATTGGAAACTAAGAGCTCTTTTCAAGCAGAAGGTTGTAATTTGAGTTGCTTTTGAGAAGAATGGCTGAAACAAGTGTAAGGTCAGGATACAATTTCCCACCAATGCTAAGAGAAATTGAACCTTGTGATCAATGGGAAAAATGAAGTAGCGATCTGGACATAGACTACATCCTTCCCAAAGAAAGGAAAACAAGGTATGGCCTTGGCACTGTCATTCCTACTAGGCGCAGATGTGGTGTCAAACGTTCTCAGAGCTAGAAATTCATGAATTAGACACTGAAGAAGATGTGGATATTCTCTTAAAATTTTTGAACAAAATCTGTGAGAAAAAATACTTGGTAAATGCATACAAAGTGTGACCAGACTTTGATAAATTTAGAAAGCTGGACAGTTATTCCATAGAATAGTATATAGTGCAAATGAAGAGACTATATTTGAGATTGAAAGTATAATTAGAGACTCCCAATTTAATGTTTGTCTTTAAATTGTTGGATTGTGCTAAGGTGTCAAATGTGGATAGACTCTTGTGGTTATATGTAAAAAAATTAACTGGGGTTTGATTTCCAGAACAAAACAAGCTTTTGGAACAAATGCATTAAAATATTACTAGGTAAATCTTCATTCCCAGCAGCCTTCATGATTCAATGGAACATTCAACAGCAATGCAAAAAAGGAGGATTCTTCAGTAGAGAATCCAGATGTAGTCTAAAAATGTCTATACAGAAGGAAATCAACTAAATGGAGTGAGGGTGGTAATACCTCTGCCACTTATAACAGATCCCAGAAATTAAGAAAGAATAACAAGAGAATGAACTCAAGTAATGGCTGGGGAATGGTCACCAGTGCTTTAGGTACAACTCAGAATGCCGTTATGCAATTAATTTTCCTAAATGGAACAAAGATGTTTTCAAAATTACGCATGACATGGAATGATTGGAGGGAAAAGATGGTGATACTGATCAGGCAGGGGTAATTGTTATAGTTACATAAAGCTTCAACTTAGTATTGAGCAAATATCTTAGTCACAGACCTATTCAATTGGGCTGCGTTGGACAGTGAATGCTCAGTGTTAAAGTGGATTGGTTAACCTTTTTTTTAAATACTATTAAGAAAGTCTTGAGAGTAAATAAAATATTTGTGAAATCTAATTCAGAAAAATACATGTTCTGCTTGCCAGCCTAGGATAACACAGAACATATGAAACCAGTTCTTTCTAGCAAAGCTTCACATGCTAATCTCCTGGATGACTATTTCTCTGCAGCAGTGTTTTACATATTCTTGGTGGAAAAGAACAATAAATGTTGTCAGTTTGGCCTGGTTAAAAAATTTGAAAAAATTCCCAGCTTCAGGTTGGGCATGACAATATGCTGACGCCATTAAAAAGTGTGGTGATTCCATGTTACATAGCTGGGCACTTTATCAGCACAAACAGTGTCAGTGGAAATACTCTTACAGTTGAGCAGGCGTCAATGAAACTGCCAAGCTACATGACAATGCAACTGTTTTGCATAAAGATTAGCAGTTTACACAATCTTGACATTTCAGAAATTAGGTATTATTAAAGAAATCAAAACATTAAACAAATGTTATTGGCATCAGGAGATAGGTGTTTGAAGGAGAAATGGCTAATTGTCCTAAAACTACATCAGCAATTGCCCATCCATCTAAAGAATGCAGGAGTAAGGGACAAGGTGCATACTAAACATATGGGAGAGATTAGTGATAAATGTTATATATGTTTAAAAAAAAGGGTACTAACACGGCCCATAACGAGT